CCTAAAAACCATGAGATCTTGCCATCTGAGCTGAAACCTCCTATATGTGTCATCTCTTCCATTACAATGTGAGCTCTTTGAGAGCAGGGACTGTCTCCATTTTTCCCTTTGCATATCCCCAGTACTTAGCACAATGCTTTGCATGTAGTAAGTGCTTAATAAATGCTTTTAAAATGATTTATTTCATTCTTAACAAGAGGAAGTATATATCTTTTATTAAAGGATGAGAACACCAGGGACCTCTTTCAATGCAAGTCAGTTATATTCTTATGCACTTCACAAAAAGCATTTACAGTTTGAATCACTTAAAAAAATCTATAAATACAAGAAAATAATATATTGGCCAAGGAACAAAAAGAGTGTGTCAAAAAGTCCCAGAGGGTATAAAAAGTAACTTATTACCATTTCAGTAGTTATGGAACAAGCTGCCCCAAAGTGTCATGAGGTTTATACTCCCTTTGTTAATTATCTCAGAACCTTTGATTCAGTTGTATACTTATGGTTTATTCATGTAATGCAAATGTATAAAATAGATCCAAGTGTAGTAAGAACTGTAGCATTTGATGACCATGTGGAAAACTGTATTCTCTGTAAAATACATTATCAACACAATAATGTCAGTAACAACTGACATAAAACATGGCATTTGAGGAGGAAACCAATTAAGCCCACTTAGGTTTGCCTGGCCTTAAATATATTATTCTTTATCCTAAATAGTATTAAATATAGTCTCTAAATTAAAGGAGAAGTTGAAACAAAGCATCTTAATAATCACTGGGTAATATGAATGATGTCAAGCTATATAGTTCCACTGAAAAACACATTAAACAGCAACTTCTGCTCATTGAATCTTGCTCAATGATACAAAAATTTCACCTGGACTCCCCAAAATGCAAAAATTATAATGTATTCCAATGAAAAGTAGAGACTGAAGGCTTCAAGCTTAAATCTAGAAGTCACATTGACCCAATGATTGAAGGTGATACCTGCAAATACCTTGGTCTCATCCAGACAAGAAACATCAAACATAAAGATTTCAAAGGGAAGCCTAGGTTTGAATGCGTTAAGAGATTTATTAGCATTCCAAAATAAAAGATGTACGGGAAGAACATATATGCAAAACCAGGCAGATATATACTCTTGGAACCATAAAGTATACAATAATAGATTTGGAAAGTATTCTCACAAAACCCTAAATGATATTATTGAAACACATAACCCTAAGGCAGCTATAGAAAGATTAACACTTCCTCACCAAAAAGGAGGAAGAAGGTTTATAGGCATCCTTAGAGCACTTGACAAACTAGTAGAAGACGTAAAGAAATACTTTTGGAACAAGCAAACATCATTTCCATGAGCAATAATAAAGGCTGAGAGGAAATTCACGATATTAGATTTGTCAAATATAACTGAATGTGGTTTACCACTGGATGGATTCTATGAAAAGGCTAACATCAAAGACTGGAATCAAAAGGTTCGGCATGGATGATGTCCACATGAACTCCACATGAACAAGCAATATTTCAATGATGGAACATTGAACAGGTGGCTGAATTATGTGGATGTTTATAAGTACAAAAGGGTTTATAATGACGATTCAGGATCAGGTCATTACCACCTGGAATTAACATCAGGTTTATCCTTAAGAAGTCCAGACCTAGGGACCAATGTAGGTTAATCAAAGAAAGGTAAAACTATCTACATATTATCATAGACTGTAAATAATTAGCACATACTCAATACCTAGCAACTTGTGACCTGTTAGCTAGAACTGTATATCAGAAACTCTTTATCTTTCATTGACTGGTATATGACATTCCCATTCTACAAATGTAGACTTTGAAACATCTTGGAGAATTTCACCCTAAACTGTACTCGGTTTGGACCATTATCAAAGACCAAGCTCTTGCCCATAATTGCCCAATCATGACATTGATCCATAAAAGCTTAAGAAGATATTTTTTAATTTATTTATTTTTTAAAATAAATTTATTTATTTTTAGTTTTCAACATTTACTTCCACAAGGAAGGATGTTTTTAATAGATACCATCACACCAAACACTCATAATCACCCAGCTACATAGAATGAAAGGTTTTCAAAATATAGAGACCTAGCAGAGAAGGTCAGAAGCATACTGAGAATAGAATGAGGTACACATCATCCCCAGGGGCCTGTTTCACAACCAGTTGTAGTAAGGACCTTTCCAAGGTGCCTATAGAAGATGAGTTTAAATCGGAATCCTTTGGGGAAAAAAACTACAAAAAGCAGTTGTTTGAGCGGTCCATTTACATTATTAATTATATATTATTATATTATTATTAATATTAAATACAAGGAATAATAGTAGGATAGCAATTTGCCCAAGGATTATTTCTATCTGAATTCCATCAAAAGAGATGAGAAGATGATAATCATGGTAATAACTGTTATTTTTATAGCACTGAAAGGTTTGCAAAGCGTTTTGCCAATAATAATCCTGTGATGTAGTTCATGCAAAGGCTATTATGCCCATTTTACAGAAAAGAAAATTGAGGCACAGGGAGGTCCCACAGCTACTATATGTCTTGGCTTGGACTAAACTCAGGACTACTGACCCGAGTATTCTTTCTGGAGTCAAAATATTGACCTTCCTCTTTGAAGCCCTTCTCTAAGCCCCTGGGGAACTGATCAGAGAACAGGGCCAGGCTCCAGCTCTTGAGTCATCTTCCTGGTTTTGAGTCATTTGGGGCAGAGCAGGAGCTATGAGCTGTCAATGAGGACCCGTGTGTTGGTTCAGCCTCCTCCATCTGGTTCCTCACTGTCATCCCCCACATCTTTCCAATAGGCCCATGTTTTTCCTTTCCTGTCTCTTGCTTTCCTTTAAAGCTCCGAGGAGGCGTCAAGTCCTTTGTCAGAGCTTTCTCTGGAGAGGTAATTTGAGATCTAAGAATTTCAAGTTTGGGTCTTCTCTTTGGTGCTTTCTTTGAAATGCTTACCCACCCACCCACCCCACCTCCATCCACCACCCCTACAAACAGACCAAAAGAAAGAGCCATTCGAAATGATACAGTCCTTGGTCAGCAAGGATTTTTGCTCTAAGCCTCCCAACTCTGAAGAGGGGAGACTAGCTCTGGACGGGACCTCAGCCTTAGCATTTACAACCCTCCCTGAGTAGCCAGTCCTGTTGTTACACCCAAAGAGGTTCCTTGTAATGGGAGCCTTCGTTGTGCCTCTTGTCTCTTTAACGATCCCACAAGCCTTTGAAAGCCCTGGAGACACTGTCTGGCAACTTGATAATTGTCTAAGTATTCCTTGTAATGTGAGCAGTGCCAACCAGTGGTCTCTGTCTCTCTCTGTCTCTCTGTCTGTCTGTCTCTCTCCTCCCTCCCTCTCTATCCCTCCTTCCTCTCTCTTTCCTCCCCCTTGCCCCCCATGGTCCTGGAAGCTGATTTTCCCCTTTCCTGACTTCATTTCAACGTCCTTCTACCATAAACCAGTCTAAAACTCTCTTGGCCTTTTACCTCCCAATCTAGTGGGGTGTCTTAGAGAGTATCTCCTGAAGGAACAATTCAAGACGACTTCCTGAAGGAAAGGTTGCAGAAGCTGTGGAATGAGTGGCCATCTAGGGAGGATAAACAAGAAATTGTAAGGCTGGTAGAAGGGAAAGAACCTGGGTTTGATTCCCAGCTTTGACCCTTAAGTGATGATCTCTGTGCCTCAATTTGCTAGTCTAATGAAGGAAGATAATAAGCCTTTAACTGCTTACCTCACACAGAACTTTAATAGTTTCTTATCCTTTCTACTAGATGATCTTTGATCCAAGCTGCTTCTCATTCAGGAAGACTTACTGGACTAACAGACTGTGATCTAGTCAGGTCAAGTCAACAAGCATTTATTAAGTACCAACTATGTTCCAGGTGCTGTGCTAAACACAGAGGATACAAAGAAAGACAAAGAAAAAAAAGCCAGTCCTGGCTCTCTGGAAGTTCACAGTCTAATAGAAGAAAGAGAATTAATTTAAAGCAATTTTGACATCTGTCTAGGCTTTAGGAGAAAGAAAAGGAGAAACGTGGGCCTGGTGATGTGTTTGGGGGGGGGGCTGTCATGGGAGTTTGTTTGTTTTTGCCTTTCTTTGTGATCCCAGTGCTTAGCACAGTGCCTAGCACGTAGTAGGTGCTCATTAAATGTTTGCTGACTTGACTTGACAGAGCAAACCCCAACCCCAGGTAGTTCCTGATAGACTAGCCTTCAAAGATCCCACCCTGATATCTTTTGATTGGAGGCTGATCCCAGAGATTCCACTCCACTCTTAAGTCCCTGCCCCAGAACCAACCCTAACTCTCCTCTGGCAATGGGGCAAGATGGCAGCAGGGAACAGAGCCAGACTCAGGCTTTATCTCGGAACTCCTAGGGTTCTCCTGAGGGAGGAAAGGGGGAGAATAATTAGCCCATCTGGCTTGAAGGCAATTACACCAATTAGGCCTTGGATCCAATTGCTCAGGGGAGGTTGGGATCCTGAGGGGATGTGTCTCCACGGCTGTGAAACCATTAACTCAGTCAGAGAAAGGGCAGACCCCCGGGAGCAGGGTCTTGGCTCAAGGGCCAGCACTGTCTCATGGTCTATCATGAAAAGAAAGTTGGCAGTCACTAACTTGATTTCCCTTTGCATGGCTATCTTCAAGGCTGCTGATTGGTTTATTTTGAGTAATACAAGGATAATTTGCCAATTCTCTTTTCCTTATGGCCATTAGGGTATTTGAATGTCCATAAACGCATTTGAATCTCAAGTTTTGTATTTTGTAGGAGGTACTCTGCCTCAGACAACACTTTTCTGCTGTTACTTCAGGACTTGAGGCTTAGCTTTCACTCTGATCATGACCATAAATGGAGTTCTGAGTCACTGGTTTTGTAATTGTTATTCCCTTAACCAGCTATTGGGCTGCTTGGTCCGGTTCTGTGCTGTTAATGTAGGAGGTGTTAGGTGCTCATCCGGTCACTTGTCCCCTTCTCATGTCTCAGCTCACCACTCCTCCCTGTGTTTCTCTGAGCCCCCTTCCCCGGACCATCTCCCACCCTCTATTCTCAGTCTCACAGCTCCCCTCTCCCTTCTCCTCCACAGGTTCAGCCCTTATGAATGGTACGATGCACACCCATGTAACCCTGGCTCAGACATCGTGGAGAACAACTTCACTTTACTCAACAGCTTCTGGTTTGGGATGGGCTCCCTGATGCAACAAGGTAGGACCTGCTCAGCCTGCTCCAAATCCCAATGCTTCCACCCTCCCTTCTATGGCTTCCCCCTCCTCTAGTCCTGCCTCCAATTCCTGGAGGTCAGGGCTGGGGTCATCAAGCTCAGACATTAGCCAAGGGGCCAGACTGACCTGGACAACAAGACAGGGCCCCCCTCCCCCATAGAAAGGGATGAGAGGCTGGACTAGGTGACCCCTAAAGTCTCTTCCAGCCCTGGGATTCTGTGGTCCTTTTTTGATCCTTCTCTGTCATTAAATCCTCAACTCTGTTCCTGTGCCGGGGCAAGGGCTGGAATAACCAGACTATGCATGAGATGCTACAAGTTTAAGGAGAACCCTTGAGAAAGGGCACAGGGTCAGCTAGAGATCCATTGTAGAGCCCCAGCCTAGAATGGAATTAATTTATGTCACCACCATTGTCACCACTGAAATCACCAGTGTCTTCACCATCACCATCATAATAGCTGGCTTTTATAAAGCATTTTACAGTTTGCTAAGCCCTTTAAAGACAAATATTAACCTCATTTGATCCTCATAACAACTCTGGGTGGTGGGTGCTATTTTTATCCCCATTTTACAGATGAGAAAACTGAGGCAGACAGCAGTTAAATGACTAGCCCAGCATCGCACAGCGTCTAAGGTTGCATGTGAACTTGAGTCTCCCTGATTCCAGGACCAGCACTCTATCCACTATGCCACCCCATAGAATCACAGGATAATGGAAGGGACTCTGAAAGGTTTTTATCAGCTCCTACTCCCTTATTCAGACAGTAGGTAGGACTGACAGACCCAAGGAGAGCCACTTCCCTGGGAGGCCATCCTGGGGATGGAAGTCATCTTTCCCTATGAAGCCCTCTCTGGAGAGGGGGCCCTGTCGCTCATCAAGTGTTTATTAAGTGCCTCCTGTCTCAGGCTTTAGAATGTCCACAGAATAAAGTCTGCTTTGCTCTCTTCCCCACCCTCCCACCCCAACCTGCTCCCCTTTCCTGCCCCTCCCTCTGGCCCAGAGACCTGCCCTCCGCTTAGCCTTGGTTCATTAGGAGACACATTCAAAATAGCAGATGAGCTTAAACTCACTGAGGCAAGACAGGAGCAGAGCCTGAGAAAGAGGCCTGGCAATTGCCTGATTGATGTATACCCTCCCCCTCCCTTCTTGCTCTCTCTCTCTCTCTCTCTCTCTCTCTCTCTCTCTCTCTCTCTTGATTAGTGAGGACTGTCTATTAGGAGCACTTGCTAGGATTACTGTGGGAATGCCACTCCACTGCTACTGCTCCCAATTAAGTGAAGTCCTTGCCCAAGAGCCTGCAATCACTTTTTCTCTAGGGCCCCAAGCCTCTCCCTCCATCTTCGCTCCAAAGGTTCTTGTTGCCAAAGGCTGGGGGTAGGAGGAAGGTAGAGTGGTGAAGGAGGCTGGGCCTTCCCCAGGGAGCTTTCCAAGGTATGTTTTAACAAGAAACTCAGAGAGTGAGGGGATGTCGTGGGTCTCTTCTGGAGGGATGAAGCCCCTGATGGCAAGCCCCATGGCCTGGCCCCCAAAGTACCTACTCCTGACAGAGGCGACCCTGCATAGACCAGGCTCTAGATCATGCCCAGTGCCCCATCCCCAAAAGCTCCTTCTAATGGGGCAAATGGGCCAAGCATTTTATGTCTCAGGCACAAGGGAGGGAGGAGGAAAACAGTCACCTTGCAGAGAGGTCAAGGGGGGCTCAGGGTGGTCTTCAGGAGGTGTTATTGGGGTAAAGAGTACGCTCCCGTCTCTCTTCATACCTGCTCCGTCTCATGCCTGAGCGTGCTCACACCACACCGCAAAGAGACAGACAGCTGCTCAGAAAGACAAGGTCAGGTGGCAATCAGCCCTCACTTAGCCAAATGCTTGTTGACTGGCTGACTAGACTCGGAGTCATGAACACCTAGGGTTTGAATTTTGCCTCAGACACTTAGCTGTGTGACTCTAGGCAAGTTACTTAATACAGCTGCTGCTTCTTCGCTGGTACATTGAGGGAGATTGGACTTAATGACCTCTAAGGTCTCTGCAAAGTCTAGATTAAGAACCCTATGACCCTATGACTTTGGCATTATTGACAATTTCAGATTATCAGCTCAATTGCCTTGGTCCAGTTGCATGGACAGTAAGAGTTGAATGTAACCAAGAATTCAGAAATAACTCCTCCTGCCATAAACCCCAGGGCCAATGTTCTGTGTTCCCCTTCAAAGCTTGGAAGAGATCAGACACAGGAAATGCATGGATGGATCACAGATTTAGAATCAACAGGGACCTCAGAGGTCACCTATTTCAAACTCTTCAATCAAAGAAACTGAGGCCAGAGAGATTTAAATAAGGTAACATAAGTTGTAAGCAATAGTCAGCAATTGAATCAGGGTCTTATAACATTTAATTTAGTATGATTCCAATGTATCATACTGTCTCATGAAAGCCTATCCACTAGGCAAGAGAGAAAAACAAAGACACTAAAAATAATGATAGCACCCATCTCTGTAGTACATTAAGGACTCAGTCTCCTCACCTGTAAAAATGCATGAAGTAAGCTAGTTAGGCTTTATGGTCCCTTCCAACTCTAAATCTATGAGACTATGATCCTCTCAGGTTTAGAAAGTGCTTTTCCTCCCAAGGTAGGTAGTGCAAGTATTATTTTCACCATTTTACAGAAGAGTAAACTGAGTCCCAGAGTGGTTTATAGTAGTAATGGTGGTGGTTGTAATCTTCATCATTGTCATCATCATCATCATCATCAGCATCTCTTTCCAGTAAAGACAGTGCCTACAAAGATGACACCATATATCCAAAAAAATATGGACTTACAATACGTGAAGGATCCATAATTTTATCAGTGTGGGTGATGTCATTCAACAAGTATTTAATAAAACACCTTCTGTGTACAAAGTCTCAAGAAAGGCGCCCAACCCCTCCACTCCTTTGTAGATGGCCTTTTTGAACTGATATAACTAAAACAACTCATCCCTGGGTGGCTACTCTTCTGTGATGAATCTCTCTACCTAGATAGGCTGGTCCCAAGACTGTTAACAGATATCCAAGTTTATCACTGAGCCCAAACTCAAACCCTCTCCAGCTTGGTAGGATCTGCCAAAGCTTGCATTCTGTGGCCATCAATCAATTGATCATTCAGCCAACAAGCATGCATTAAACACTTACCATGTGCCAGACAGCATACTAGGTAGGAGCTAGAGATACAAAGACGTAAGCAAAATGACTCCTGTCCTCAAAGAGCTTACATTCTAATAAGGGACACAACATCACTATATATAGACACATACAAATGCCTATAGATAACCATGGAGAGGAAGGCAAAAGCAGCTGGAGAGTCAGAAAAAGCTTCAAACACAAGTTAGTGCTTGAGACAAGTCTTGAAGGAAGACAAAGATTCCAAGAGGTGGGTAATAAGAAGGGAATGCATTTCCTAAGCAAGATAGGAAATAAAATTTCACGTATGAGAAACAGGAAAGAAGGACAGTTTGACTGAACTAAACAGTGTATGAAACGGAGTATAATTAGGCAGGAAAGGTAGGATATAGGTATGTCGTAAAGAGGTCTAAATGCCAAAGAAGGAGTTCGTTTTTGACCCACTGGAGCCACTGGAGTTTATGAAATGGGGGAAGAATTGACATGGTCAGTGATGATTTAGGAAATTCATTTTGTCCTTTTGATGGTGGAGAGTAGATTGGAGAAGGGAAACATAAAGCAAGGAAAACAAATAGGAGGCTACTGCAGCAGTTCAGGTGAGAATTGATATGAGCCTAGGGTGGTGACTGTGTGGTTGAAGAGAAGGGGACACATTGAGAAGTGTTCAAGAGGAAGAAAGAACGTTGTGTGGCAATTGATAAGATATAGGCACCAAAGCAGTGGAGAGAGTGCTGATCTCAGGGAGACCTGAGTTCAAATCTGGCCTTAAATACTTACTGACTGAGTGACCCTGGACAAGACATTTAACCTCTGCCTGCCTCAGTCTCCTCAACTATAAAGTGGGGGTGATAATAGCACCTACTTCACAGGGATATTTCGAGAATTAAATGAAATATTTCATTTAGCACATTTAGCACAATGCCAGATACATAGAAAACACTTAATAGAAGCTTATTCCCTCTCCTCCACACCCACCAGCTATGTGACCCTGGGCAAGTCACTTCATGTCTGCCTGCCTCAGTTTCCTCAACTGTTAAATGGGGATAATTATAGTACTTGCTTTCCAGGGCTACTGTGAGGATCAAATGAGATGACATTTGGAAAGCATTTGTAAAAACCTGAAAATGTCACATGAATGATAGCAATTTATTATTATTATTATCATCTGAAGCGAGGAACCAAGGAGGTTGTGAACCTGAGTACCTGCAAGGCTAGCGATGCCCTTGACAGAAGTGGGGAATGTCAGAAGTACTTGAAAGCATAACTTGTTAGAGCCCAGGAGGAAGTCAGTGGGGACAGAATAACAATGAATAAGAATCACTCACATTTCTATAGTTTCCAATATATTCTAGGGCCTCAGTGCTTCAGAGCACTGGAATATTTCCAATTTACCAAGGACTTTTTCTCACAACTGGCCTGGAGGCCGTTAATGCTAGTAGTAATACTCTCTTTTTACAATTAAGATATTGATGCTGTCTATATTTTTATAATCCTGGGTGTCACACACACACACACACACACACACACACACACACACATACACACGATTTCTTTAGAACACAAGCTGCTTGTGAGTAGGAATTATTTCTTTCTTCATACTTGTATCCTCTGTGCTGAGTATTGTGTCTAGCACATAGTAAGTGTTTGACAGAGGATTTGTTGCTTAATTGATGATTCAGTCAGTCACCTGGCATTTTTCATGTACCTACTATGTGCCAGGCACAGTGGAAAGTGGGCAGCAGTAGATAGAGCCTTGCTCCTAGAGTCAGGAAGACCTGAGTTCAAATCTGATCTCAGATACTTACTAGCTGTGTGACTTGGGAAGTCACTTAAACCTGTTTGCCTCAGTTTCCTCATCTGTAATAAGCTGGAGTAGGAAATGGCAAACCACTCGAGCACCTTTGCCAAGAAAACCCCAGCTGGGTTCACAAAGAGTTGGACATGAGTGAAACAACCGAACAATAAATGTGCTAAACCTTGGGAATACAAAGAAAGTGGAGTGCCCGGGGAGAGGAATGTGAGGAGAGAGAGAGAGGAAAAGGGTTCAGAGATGGGGGGGAATCACTCTGCCAGTAAGCTTCAGAGCTGAGATACAAACCGAGACCCCTTGACCCTATGTCTGATGCTTGCTCCAAACGTTAACCTTGCAGGGCAGTGGAATTTAGGAAGGGAGGGGAGAATTATGGAGGTACAGAGACCAGCTCAGGCAGGCCTGGAATAAATGCTTCACCTCAGGGGTTCTTAAATTTTCTGGGCCATGGTCTTTTTTGGCAGTCTGGTACCCATGTACCCTTTCTCAGAATAATGGTTTTAAATACAATAAAATAAAATAAACTTTTTAAAAACCCAGTTACATAAAGTTGTGACTTTGTCCTCCAGGTTCCCAGACCCCCTTGTAATCTACCCACAAACCACGGGGGTATGTGTGAAGAGGTTTACCTACAATTCCCAGAAAAACCTTAAAACTTTTACTCACTTATCTCTCTTTGACATCTTGCCTCCCCGGCCCGAAAAAGAACCTGGCTTCAGTTTTGTTTACCAGTCCCAGTAAACCCTTAAAGTTTTAGAAACTGCCTTATTTCCCTTTGAAAGCAAACTTCCCCTTTTAGCTCCCTTCATTATCTATTCTCATTGTCTGTTCAAATCACTCAGACATTCCAAACAGAAATTCTCACCTGGACCCTTTTCCAAACGATCCACCTCCCCCATCAACTGGCTTTCCCATTGTTTTGCCTTCCTGGCCATTCCCACCCTTAATCCCAGCTTGCTGACCACCCCCATCCAGATCTCCCTAAACACCTCCCCCCCTCACCCCAAACTGCTTGGCCACTCCTTGGACCCCTCATCCGGTCACTCCAAGCTGCTTGGCCCCTCCCCAATCAGTCTGTACTAAAGACTCATCTTTTCCCCACTCAGAAGCTGGGAATTTCTCATGCCCCTAGAGGATGAGACCCCATGCCTGCCAGTAATGGGCGTCACCTGGTCTGACCACCTTAGCCCCCAGTCAGATGCTGAGCTTTCTAGACTGCCTCACACTGCTCGTCCTTGTGACCATCACCTGACCACCTTAACCCCATTTAGATCACTGATGTTTGGGTTCCTTTGGAGTCTGGCCTATATACTTACCTTTAATAAACTTTTTCTCTGTCTGGAAGAAAATCTGAGTTGAATTCATTCAGGCAGATCCATGCCACGATCTGGGCTTTTTCCACTATCTTGGGATGCCTGTGTGCATCTAATAGCACCCCAAAACCCCCACCCTCTTCATGTGGACCCCAAGTTAAGAACCCCTGCTTTGGTTCAAGGACTCATTATCATCACCTGCACAGATGTCCTAGCCAGAGTTTTAGCCTCCCCTCAGTCCAATGCAGAATACTTGGAAATCCCTCTGAAATGGATGTCTCCTTACAGGGAGGAGGAGTGGAGCACTTTGTTATTTGCCCTTTTTTAATAGATGCCTGAGAGCCTTACATACCACTTCATCCATCCATCATCACCATTCAGTGACAGTTGTTAGAGACCTTGCCCCCCTGGATGTGGTAATGGCTCCATTTCCCCCCCTCCTGCTGCTGTCACTCTTCAAAGCTCTGTCCCCAGAAATCTTCCCCCCTCATCCCCTGATGTATTCATTCCCCTTCACCCATTTTGATTAGGAGAGAGAAAAAATAGTTGTGTATTTGAAAAACTCTCCCCTCAAGTGATTTCTTTGAGGAAAAAAAACCAGCCATTTCATATCAAAGCAGAAGCTTTTAAAACTGTGGGACCAAATACTCTGGGAAGTTCAGGAGTCACTCATTATTTAAATCTCTTGAAAGCAGTCTAGTTAATTATTTTGGTTTGAAGGTTTCCTCCAAATTATGCCCCATACCCAAGGTCAGAGATAAAGAGAGAGGCGAAAATGCTTCGCCCAAATGTTTATTTTCGCCTCGTGCTCCGTAGCTGCTTTATATTCCTACAGGCCTTTTATGTCCAAAGCATCTTCCTATACATTCTCTCATCTTTTCTTCACACTTTCCATATGAGACAGAGCCAGAGGGAGAATGAATCTCCCCTATTTTATAGATAAAGAAACAGATGCCCAGAGAGGGGAAGTAACTAGCCCAAGGTCATACAACAAAAAGGAAGCAAAGCCAACTTAAGAATTCAGAAGTATGGACTTTCCAGTCAAGGATTTTTTTTTATTCCTATGTGAAATTAGACAGCTTAGGTGGCATAATGAAGAGAGTAGTGGACTTGAATTTGAATCCTACCTCAGATAACTTATTAGCTCTGTGACCTTGGACAAGTCACTTAATTCTCAGCCTCAGTTTCCTCATCTGTAAAATGGGGATAATAATGGCACCTACCTCCTGGGGTTGTTGTGAGAAATAAATGAGACTAAATAAGGTGTCCCAAAAGTCTTAGTGCAGTTGTGCACTAATAAGCTTAAAATTACACAAAGACTATTGGGATACTCTGTATGCATACTGAAAGAAATTGTTATTAAATAACTAACTTTTGGGGAGATCCAGGGTTTTTTTTTTCCTTCCCCTTTACTACTTCCTTCATTCTCTACTAGGTCAAGTCTGCATCTGAAGGATATTGCAGATCATGAGATTGGATTATCTTTGTCTTCAATCTCAGTCAGACCCCACCCAAGTGGCAAAATCCATTGTGTTCTACTCAGGCTTGGGTGGGGAGTCGATCCTTTGTCTAGATTGCCTGAGGCCAGAGGTGGTCTGGGAGGGAGAGTGGTCAAAGTCACATCTCACAGCCCGTCAATAGAAGGGGTCCACCTCTCATTCTAATATTCATTCTCTCATTCCTTGTTAACCAATCAGAGTTGATTGCTACCCTAGGGAACACCCACTCTACCAAGGGCATATTAGCATTGAGTGGGTTCTGTGAGGGGTCTTTGGCATTTGAGAGTGTCACTGACCCTTTTTATTAATTATCCGATAACATAATTAATAAAATTCTTTATTACCTAGAAATTATCTCTCAAACTTTTTATACACCACAATACATACATACACACACACATATATCCATACATATATATTATAAACACACATACACACATATACATGGTATGTAGCAACCTCAAAGCACTATCTAATAACGATCAATAAGCAATAAACTTTATTAAGCACCTATTATGTTTCAAGCACTGTACTACGACAAAATACCAAAACAGCCCCTGCCCTCAATGGGGTGAGGGGCAGAGTGAGAAGGATATGTACATGTGTAAATATAAATATTCAAAAAAATCAATATTAAGTTGTTTTGGGAGAAGGCACTAGGATTTCGGCGGAGGGGGTTAGGGAAGCCTTCATGCAGAAGGTGGTGCTTCAGCTGGGTCTTGATGGAAACAAGAGAATATAAAAGGTGGAGATGAGGAAGTAAGTCATTCCAAGCATGGTGGGGGAGGGGGAGCATGGGAACGACACCCAAAGCAAAGGTACAAAAACGGAAATGACATGTTGTATATGAGCAATAGAGAAAAGGCCAAATCGGCTGGACCAGTGAATGCGTGGAGGGGAGTAATATGGCTGGAAAGCTATAGCAGGTTGGAGTCAAGTTGTGAATGAATTGAAAATCCAGAGTTTATATCTTATTTCACTGGTGACAGGGAACCATTGACGTTTCTGGTGTAAGCATATGGTGTGCATTTAAGGAAGATCGCTGTGGCTATTGTGTGGAAGATGTGAATTGGAGAAGGGAGGAGATGTGAAGCAGAGAAACCAATCAGGAGGCTATTGCAATAGTACAGGCAAGAGGTAGCAAAGATGTGAGCTGAAGCAGTGGCCATGTGAATAGTAAGAAGGGGTTGAATGTGGTGAATACTGGGGAAGTACAATTAACAAGATTTGTGGTGCAGTGGATAGAGTGCTGGGCCTGGAGTCAGGAACATTTGACCTCAGACGCTTACCAGCTGTGTGACCCTGGGCAAGTCACTCAACCCCGTTTGCCTCTGTTTCCTCATCTGTAAAATGAGCTGGAGAAGGAAATGCAAACCACACCACCATTTCTGCCAAGACAACCCCAAATGAAGTCACAAAGAGTCGAACAGGACTCAAACAACTGAATAACAACAACAAAATTTAAATGTTGCTGAAATGAGAGTCCAGAGACCTGGGTTCTAATTGTGACTCTAACTGGGCAAAGCCCTTCCCTTCTCTGACCTTCAGTTTCTTCCACTATAAAATGAGATTATTGGATTAGATGATCTCTAAAATCCTTCCTACCGCTGACGGCTTATGGATTCAGATACTGTAACATCCCAATTTTCCTTCCTTCCTCCCAGGCTCTGAACTAATGCCCAAAGCCCTGTCCACGAGGATCATTGGTGGCATCTGGTGGTTCTTCACGCTGATCATCATTTCTTCATACACGGCCAACCTGGCGGCCTTCCTGACAGTAGAGAGGATGGAATCTCCCATTGACTCAGCGGACGACTTAGCCAAGCAGACCAAGATTGAGTATGGGGCAGTCAAGGATGGGGCCACCATGACCTTCTTCAAGGTGAGCCCTCGAAGGGCATCTCCGCTTCATCTCCCTGCAGGGTCTCCAAGAGACCCCTTTTTTGCCTGGAAGGCTCTGAAAGGGGTGATCCAGGATCTACCCCCAGGGACCCCATCCCTAGGGGTATTTCCTCAGATGGCTTCATCCAGACAGACTCAGTGAGATATATTTAACCGCTGAGTGCCTAACCTCAGGAGACTGGGGACAGACTTGAGATGATGCTAATCATCATTCCATTAGAACTACAGCTTCTCAAAGGCAGGCACTTTTGTCTTTGTCCCCCTAGTGCCTGGTACTACTGGCCTGAATCAGGGTGCTTAATTTATGCTCATTGAATTGAATTTAAGTGATAATCATAGGTCACATAGGATCCCTGTGAGGTAGCATTACTATCCCTGCTTCACAGAGGTAGAAAGTGAAGCCCAGAGAGGGTAAAGGATTTGCCCAAGGTCACACAGCTGGAAAGTATAGACTAGAACCCAGATTTTCTAAGTCCAAGTTCAGCAATGTTTCCATAGAGTGTAGAAACAGGAAGGGCCTTTAAGAATAAGCTTGCTCAGTCCCTTCCCTGTTCAGATGGAAACACATACCCAGAGTGCTCAAGCTGAAACCCTAGGAGCATTTTGCTCAGCATGGATAGTAACAGCAGCCAGGGAGAAAACAGGGATGGCATTGGTTTGGAGCTGTGCTGCCACACCAGAATCTACCTGGTGACTGACAGAATAGCCCTTTCTTCAAATCAAGTAAAGATTTAATTGCTTTTGGAACCTCCAGGAATCTCTACCAACCTACCTGCCATTGATTACCTCCAATTTATCTTGTCTCTAATTTTACCTAATTATTTTCATGTTGTCTCCCACATTAGACTGTTGAGCTCCCTAGAAGCAGAGACTGACTTTTGCATTTCTTCGTATCTCCAGTGTTTAGCACAGTGCCTGGGATGTAGTAAGTGCTTAGTAAATGTTTGTTGACTGCCTGACCTCCTTCCAGACCATATCACCTATTACCAGCTGTGGGCTGGAAGGGTAGAATAGGCACCAGATTTCTCATCAGCTGACCCAGGTTCAAGGCCTGGCCCTGCCACTAACTACCTGTGTGACATGGGACAAGTCATAAGGAACTTATGTCGTTTGATAGAAAAAGCATTTCAGTGATTTGGAGTCAGAGAGCCTGGGTTCAAATCCCTGCTGTGATCCTTACTACCTGTGTGACCTTGGACAAGTCATAAGTACCTCTGGATCACCTTTTCCTCATCTGAAAAATGATGGAGTTGGGGGGCAGCTAGGTGGCGCAGTGGATAGAGCACCGACCCTGAAGTCAGGAGGACCTGAGTTCAAATCCAGCCTCAGACCAAACACTTGACACATACTAGCTGTGTGACCTTGGGCAAGTCACTTAGCCCCGATTGCCTCACAAAAAACAAAACAAAAAAAAAAAAACACAAACAAAAATAATGGAGTTGGAACAGACGACCTCTGAGGTGCCTTTTGGTTCTAAATTTAGGCTCCTACATACTTCTTGGGGCCTCAGTTTCCTCATCTGTTAAATGAGAATAATAATAGCTAGCATTTCTATAGCTCTTTAAGATTTACAAAGCACTTTACAAATAGTATCTCATTCTATTCTCCCAACAACCCTAGGAGGGAGGTACTATTATTATCCCCATTTTACAGATGAGAAACTGAGGCAGAAAGCAGGATCACATCACTAGTAAATGTCTAAGGCAGGG